AGGTAGGTTTTGCGCTTGTCAAATATGGCACTAGAAACATGATCCTACTGAAAGCTCATCTATTCGGAATATGTGCATTTTTCACCTTATGTGTGGCATAGGCAGTATTTTTGAAGGATATAGCAGGTGCCCTTCTATAAAAATGAGTTGTGAATACCGAGTCAGCTGCTGTATATTCTCTAGTCTAAAACTTTGGTAGATGGAGCAATGTTTGCTCATCACTGTAGATAAGCTGAAAAACAGATTTTAAAAAATATTTTCTAGAGCTGAAAGAATTTTTAAAAATCGTTTTTTTGCGATGTATAGTCAAGATAGCAACTAATTGAACTAATGAGCGCTATCTGAGTTTGTTCTACAAAACCTGGGACAGATCGAGGGTTACAAGTTGTTTTGTTCCAGTTCATGAAGCTATGCCAAGTGCTTTGTAGAAGTCAGAATGGTGTGGTATCTCTTCTAAAGGTGGTATGATAACAGAGGGGCCTAGGGCAAGAGAAGGTCAGGTGATTTGGTTTCCCCTCCCCTAACTGCCAGGCAGTTTATTTAACACTGTTTAGAACAATGTCATTCAGACCATTAGCAACAGGCATAACTTAGGCAGTTGATTGGCAGGAATGATTTAACTTTGGACAGTGGATGAAGTTATTGCCTTCGGTGCACAAAAATCTGAGCCAATCGGCTCTTAATCTGTCGCAGTTTATAGTGCAGGTTTTTAGGGCAGAATAAAATCTGTGACTGTTTATCTTAAAGTGATGATAAAGTGGTGTAAGCTGACTGATAACCACCTCAGATGTGACTGCTTCAAGGGCAAGGTAGACAGCAGGGAGTAGAACCCTCATCAGTCAACACGAGTTGTCCTCTGTAGTCAGTAAGAGCTCCTAGATAATTTTTCAGGGGACATTAAAAGCTAGATTTTTGAAAGTCATTGATGTTGGCATAACTCTGGGCCTGTTGAAGTCTGTGGTAAAAAGACAAATAAACAGCTGCCCTCACACACATGCCAGTGACATCAGTGGCAGTAGGATTAGGCCATGCTAAGTATTTTTAAAACTGCGGCCTTGATGTGTATGTGGCATTCTTTTTGCCTGCATTTTTAGTGCTTCCCAGTGGATTCCTCTTGGGTCTGTCAAGAGTTAACTTTCCCCTGGAGAAAAGTGCATTTGGCTTCTGCAGCTGACAAAGGCAGCCGAAGCTGCTCAGTTTTCATTACCTTGTCCTCTGAACAAGGAGACGACGAATTTTTTTCCTCCCTTGCTCAGGGTAGAGCTATGAAAGTGAGATTTCTGGATGGAGTTCAAACTATCCTGCCCTAAACTGGCAGCTGTAGTCTGAAAGGGTAATGTCAGAGACTGGTAGGAAGCCTCAGTGGCTGTATTTATTGTCACAGTATGGGTGCAAAGTTGGCGTTTTAACCTCTTTGATCCTCCGTCTATCCCTCTTATTTTCTCTGTTCCTTCACTTCTGCTTCTGCAGTACAGGAATTTTCCTGTTTATCCAGTGGGGGTTTTTACCTTCCGTCTATCTTCTGTAAAGGATCTGGGGGAATGTCCTTTGATTTGCACTGCAGAGAGCTACGTTACAGGCATCTTGGCTCTTAGTTCTGATTTATAAGGCCCTAGAAAATGTGACAGCACAGTGTTTCTCGGTAAAACCACAGAGCCTGTGTTCCCAGAATCCCTCCCAGCCTTCCTACTTTGCCCAAGATGGTGTCAGTCAAGAGAGCAAATGCTTATATAAGTAAGCTGCCTTCTGTAATGTAATGAATGCTCAGGTTAATGCCAAACTGTTCTTTTGTAATTGCCTCATCATCCTAATGTCTAGGTACAGGCTCAACCCCAAACTGTGACGCTTTCTCAGACGACAGCAGGTCAACAGCAGGTTCAGGTGATTCCTGCAACGACCGCTACTGCTCAGGTTGTCCAGCAGAAACTGATACAACAGCAAGTCGTGACAACAGCGTCTCCCCAGATTCAGGCTCCAGGTGTACAGAATCCAGCCCAGGCACCAGCAACATCTGAAGCCCAGAATCAGCAAGCAAAAGTACAAATGAGGACGCCTACTGTCAGATTAAAGGCACCTACTAAACCAAGTTGAACTAATGATTAAAATGCAATAACAGGGAAACACAGCATTTCTTGTTTGCTAAGCCAAGTGAGAAGCTACTCCAAACATCAAAAGGAAGATAAACCACTTCTATTTTTTTTTTTTTTTTTAGCAGCAAGGCTTTTTGCTGGTGAACATTTAAACATGGAAACTTTCATATAACTTCAGCGTATTAGCAACTGTTTAGCACTCAAAATCTGTACAAGACGCATTCTGCCAGTGTTCTCTGTGCTCATTCAAACCAGATAGAGCAAACATTACTTACGTTTAAATTCTGTCCAGCTTCACAAAAGTAAAATGGTGATACGCCATAAATGTCAGTAAAATTCATCTGTGTTAGCATACCATAAACTGCCCGTGGGAGTATGCAGTTCTTTGCTATAGTTTGGATGTGCGCTCAATATCCACGGTGAAGCCATTCAAAGCACCAAGCGTGGCTAATATAGCGAAGTATTTTCCATCTGTATAAAAGCTGCGTGTTGTTCTCGCTTGAGGTAAATACCTCTGGAAGATCTAACTTATATTTGAAGTGCTCCCTGCAAAGTTTAGCCAATAAATGTGAAATCCTGTAAGTATATGTAATTAAAAAGGAAAAAAGGTTTCATTCTCCATTTTTGTAAGTCTTTTAAAATGTTTGTTAGTAGTTTTGTGTACAGTTTACTGAATCACCCAACCTGTGCGCTCATTCTCATATTTCACTTTAAGATAATGGATATTTTAGGCATGAACTGAGTAAATACTGTGTTGATAGTAGATGTGTATTCAAGTGTAGCCCATTTTTTTTTTTTAAATGAATTGTTTGGGGGATACAGCTAAACAAATGATCCATAGCTGTTTCTTATGGGACTTCTGTCAAGGAAACTCTCCAACTGATAAAATTTAATCTCTCAGTTTCATTCTGCTCTTGCAACATGTTTAAATGCTCAGTACTTTCTACTCAGCTTTCAGCTCGGGGGGTGGGGGGCAGGGGGAAGGGGAGAATAGTGAAATTAAATTTAAGACTTAATTCTTCAACTGTGTAAAGAATAAGATCTAACTTTTGTACTATTCTTTTACTAAAGCTAATGATGAATGTATCTTCAGGTGGGTATTTTGGATGTGAACAGAGCGTGGCCTCTTCCTCCAAATCAGTTTGCCTTATTGTTACGGGGAAAAAAAAAAACAAGCAAAAAGCTGCATAGAACTGTGGGGGTTTTCTTTACTTTTCTTGCATAAAATGAAAGACAGACTCTGTTTGCAAACAGCACTGAGCGAGGAATCAAAAAGCTCTTGGTGGCTTGAATGGATTTATTTTACTTTGGCCATAAAACTGCGCGACATGTAAAACTCAGACAAAATTATAACATTCCTTTTCTGCGACGGTTTTAAGATTATTTTTTCCATTCTGTGATCTTTTTACTCTTTTAGGAGGGGAGCCCATTTAAAGGCAAGGAAAGCGTATCTTTTGTTCTTACCTCTGTATGTACACACCTATTGGTACCTAGCAGTCCAAATGGCTTAAACAAGAAAGAATACCCAGGCAGCTCCTCTGTTTTAAGTAGGATAGGCACAGCCCGTTCTGGTAAGGTCACGAATGTAAACACTGGGTCAGGCAGTGTTCCTGATTTTTTTTTTTTTTTTGTAGTTTTATACCTCTTTTCCCCTGCATCCTCTTTTTCTTGGACCCTCAGGTCTGCAAATATGGGGGCATTGTTTGGTTTTTTTAAGCTGTTTGTGCATGCAGCAGTATTCCCCTGACCCCACTGAACCACTGGTTTGTGCCATGACCTAAACTTCATCACTAGCCGCGAAGCTGGTAGTGGTGGCAGCAGAGTAGTTCAAAATGCAGAGCAAAATGCAGTGGTAACGGATAACTGACACTGATAGTGTTGCTCATCCAGAAATGTTGCTTAGTTAGCCCCAGTTTTACTTTTAAATGTTTAGCTCTTATTATGTGCATGAAAGTCCGGGGGGGGGGAACACTCCAGCGGTGGAACTGCATCATTGTGCTGGTCTGATGTGGTGTCTGAAGAGGTGGTTGTTTCTTGTTTAGGTCAGTCAATGAAGATAAAAATCACCTTTTTTTTTTTTTTTTTTTTTCTTTTCCCTTCTTTTTTTCCTTTTGATGTGTCTTTCTCCCAGGCGTGTGTTAGGAAGTCAACCTGTAAATAACTTATGAACATAAGCATTTGTACTTGATCCAGTAGGATTGTAAGGAATAGTGATGTATCCTACCTGAAGGTGTAATAAAGTGTACATTTTTATAACGCCGCCTTGCCCTGGCTTCTGTAACGCGGGGCCGGCCGCGCTCGCCGCCCCGCGGAAGGGGGGACCCGGGCAGTTTTTCTTCAAAGATGCGGTTTTCGGGGCTGCAGCGGGCCCGGGCTGCGGGCTGCG